CAGCAGGCTTTTCTGCTGCGGGCGGCTCTGCGCGATTTTGGGGTGAGTGTTGATCGAGGAAGCGAGCCAGAAGGAAGCTCTCTGGCTCATGCCTCGGTTTAAATAGTCACCCCCCCCCCAGCCAGCAGGTTGGCTGGCTGGAACTTTGACATGGCCGGGACCTCCGGTACTGCTGCTGCCATGGCACCCACCATACTGCTTCACCGGAAGACCCCAGTCATAAATCAGGGGACATTAATTAAAATCTGGGGACAGATTGGTGAATCCGGGGATTGTCCCCGGGAACCCTAGTCTAAAGGTCCTGGGCTGCCCAGACGTCAATACCCCCTCTCAGCCTTGCTGATGTGGTGTAAAGGAAAGCAGAGCAATGCATTTGTCACCAGTTTGGTTGCAGGAGTTGCTGGAAGGAGGCGTTCAAGGCACCATTCAGCCATCTTAGGGACTCTATTCCTGATTTGTGCAGGCTTTAGTCCTTAGCCTTTTCTTCTCCCAAAGATATTTCACAAGGCAGGGGAGGTTTAGGAGCAGAGTTTTCCTTCTCCCAGATGGGGTCCCTTCCCAGCCTGATGAGCCCCATCTGCCCCTCACTTCCCTCTACAGCAGGGGCAGAAACTGCCTTCTTGACCGTTGGACCCCCCTCCCCCCCCATTTGATTACTGTTGTACCTCGGGTTACAGACGCTTCAGGTTACATACTCCGCTAACCCAGAAAGAGTATACCTTGGGTTAAGAACTTTGCTTCAGGGTGAGAATAGAAATCGTGCTCTGGCGGCACGGCAGCAGCGGGAGGCCCCATTAGCTAAAGTGGTACCTCAGGTTAAGAACAGTTTCAGGTTAAGAACGGACCTTCAGAATGAATTAAGTTCTTAACCCGAGGTACCACTGTATATACATTCACATCATCATTGTCCACTTTACCGCCCTGGCTCTTTAGTACCTACCGACTTCCTTTCCTTCCATCTCATGGCTTTCAAAATTAACCTTTATGTCATTGCAGTTTGTACGTTTTCCAATTCCAATGACACTCATTACAAAATGGCTCAAAATTTAAATAAACATAGAAAGGTAGAAAATTTCTCATCACAAGTCTTCAGACAACCGCGCTAGTGATGTTAATTGCTTACAAAAATCTTTCAAATATTCTATAAATTTACTCCAGTCCTTTTGGAATCAGGGCCGTCTTACCCATAGAGGCTAGTGGCGTGGGGCGCCAGGGCGCCAAGGTGTGGAGAGTGCCCGGGAAAAGGCAGAGGCTGGACGCGGCTCCTCCCGGCATCAGCTCGCTGCCCTTGCCCTTGCCCGCCTCCGCCACACCGCACCAAAGCAGCGCTGCACCCGGAGACTCCGTCTGCCGTGGCCACTGCTGCACAAAGCGGCCAGCCTCCACCTCTTCCCCGCCGCTACCCGCCTCCTCCAGCCCCACCAGCGGCGCCGTCCTCCCTAAAAAACTCTGGGAAACAGGGGGGGGGGGGGCCCGGAGGGAGCTTTGCACCACGGTGCTGGATATGCTTAAGATAGCCCTGATTGGAATACTTGATCATGCTGGTTTCTTGGTCTTGTCACTCAATGTGATGGCCTGGGACTTGGGCTCGGACTTGGAACCAGAGGAGTCTCAGGCTGCACTGGATCCTTTGCCTCGGGCATCATCTGAACCAAGTCTGGGGCCCAATCCTGAAGAGTCCCGGTCTGCACAGATTCCCCTGCAACAAACACCAGCTGGGCCGAGTCAGGGGCCTGAGCCTGCCCTGGCTCCAGATGTGGGGATTACCTCATTGCCACCAGCTGGGCCATCACTTACAGGGGAGGCTGAGGCGGCCCCTGGGTCTAGTAACCCACCAACGTCTCCTGAGCTGCAGAGACTAAGGTCTGAGAGAAGGAGAGACCTGAGTACTTGCAGGAGGAGTGCTCGCCTTTGGGCGAAATAGGGAGGTGAGTCGCTGGGGGATCAGGACCGGCCGTTACCCCGACAAAGATAAAAGGCTGTCGAACCCTGCCCCAGGTTGCGGGAGCAACATTGCTGTGTGCCAGATCCTGCATCTGTCCTTGCCTGGTTTCATGCCTTGTGTCCTGCCTTGGCCCTGTTGGACTGACTCCTAGGCACCTTTGGATTCTGGACTGCTCCTGGACCACATTTCACGGGTTACCCCCTGGCCTAGCACACTCAATCTGCGGGAGCCTATCTTCGCACGCAGTGGAAGTCTGTAACTCACAGAGGGCTTGAGACCCATCGGCTACCCTCACCTGATTTAGCTGGCCAGTTGAAGCCGTTTCCTGGGGTGTGTTTGCTGTTCCATGCTGACAGCTTCCAGGAGCCACAGGCGAGAGCTGAGTGCAGGGTGAGGACCAAAGGTGGACAAACAACCCCAGGAGGTGCATGACGTGTCCCCCACCAGAGGTACTACCCCTCCCCTAACGCCCCATGCGCCCCAGAATGTAGGAAATCTGACGTTCTATCCAGAATGTTGGAAAAAAGAAGAAAACACGACAGGAGGTGTGCCTTTGCTTTTTAAAAGAACATTCAGTGATCGTCTTCTGTCTGCACAATTCCAGGAGAGTTGCAAACTTTTCAAGTCCCATCAGAGTTAAAATAATGTTCTCTGTGTTTGCACTGATGGCTACCTGTTGCTCCATTGATGGCCTTTTCTGTAGGGAAAGGCAGCTGTCATCATCCGTCATCCATTTCTCCCCCCCCCTTTTGATAGAAAGAAACCTAACCATTTTCTCGTAGAAAATGTCATGACACCAGCCAGATATACAGAGCCTTATAAATATTCAAAATTGAAATTGCGGCAGTGCATGGTTGAAGCCAGAGGGATGAATTATTTAATGCTTGTTACAAAATGTGAGGTTTTTCCATTTGTTACTAAGCAGGCTTGCTTTCTCAGGGCTGCTCTTCCATCTTTAGTAAATTAATTTGGGCCAGCTTGCTTGTTTGACCTCCTGTCCTTCCTGTCTGTTGATTTTTTTGACCTGCTTGTCAGGTCAGTTTCAGCAAACTGGGGATGGATTTCGTCTCAGCACAGCAGGCAAATTGTTTGAGATCTCCATGTGTCAGAAGATGGTATTAGACTTTCTTTCAAAGTATTTATGCTCTACTGTTCACCCAGAAAAACATCCAGAATGGTTTATAAATAAACAGAAATAGGGAAGTCCCTGCCTTCAGGCTTAGAATATGAAAAGACATAGCACAAGAGGAAGAACTGATGGGGAGGGAAGAGGAAAACAAGGGAATTCAGACACAAAATTCTTGCCGCAAGATTCTTATAATAACCCACATGTATGGAAATGGGCTTCTCACAGTTCAAAAAATGGGCTGAGGAAAAAAAAAAAGGAGAGCTGTGGTCAGGGCTGTCTTAAGCATATCCGACGCCGTGGTGCAAAGCACCCTTCTGGCGCCCCCGCTTTCCCAGAGTTGTCGACCTTAGGGCTAGAGGAGGTGGGCGGCAGCAGCTGGAGGGCGGCTCCATCGGCGGGGAAGAGGCGGGGGCTGGACGTGGTGCCTCCTGGCTCAGCTGGCCGCTACATGCCACAGTGTCCATGGCAGGCAGCAAACCGAGCGAGAGGGCCTGCAGCGAGTGAGTGAGGGCACGTGCGCTGCTCCCACAGTACGTTGGCTCAGTTTTCCCCCTTTTAGCCTTCTGGCGCCCCGCAGAATTTGGCGCCTGCAGGCTAAAAGGGAAAAAAACCAAAGTGATGCTCTGCGGGAGCAGCGCACGCACTCTCATTCACTCAGCGCGTTCATTCGGTGTTCCCCGAACTCTTGCCTGGTGCCCTTCAGAACTTGGCGCCCCGGCGCCCCGCGCCACTAACCTCTATGGGTAAGATGGGCCTGGCCGTGGTGACCCAACTTTCCTTGAAAGTGACAGTAATACAGCTGAAAGTTGACTTTCATTTCCATCTTCACCGTGTCAGATTCATGAGTAGTTTTTTAAATGCTGTTCTGAACTAAGCTGATGACACACACCCAGGGAATATTCTGCAGGCTGTTGCACTGGTTTCCATAACTGAGCTGAGTAGGCCTACTCTTCTGAGTATGCTTGGAGTTGAAAAAGGGGGACTAAAGGCAAACTTCATCCTGGGCCAAAGTTGCCACATTTCTTTCCTGAATGGGCTCCTGCTCCTCCAAAATCTTCTCAGTTAACCAGCATCTAAAATGCTTAGCGCCCAACTCTGATATTTGGGGAGGCTCTACTGCAGTGAACTGGGCAAAAGAAAACACTCCTATAGGCTTTTGACCTGAAGCAACATCACTGCTTGATCCTCATCCTGGGTGGACAGTGTTAGACAATGGTTAGACAACACTGGTTAAAAGCAGGATGGGAAGCAATGTCAGCTGCAACATTAATACCATTTCTTTTTTTTTTATAAGACATTTATTAGCATTTTTCAAAAGACATAGGTTTACATAATAAAAAAAGTTAAAACAGTGATTAACATACTAAAAAGAAAACAGAAAGAGGGAAAAAAAGAAAAAAGAAAAAATACAAAGTTCAAAAAACAAATAGCTAAGAAAAGATAAAAAATCCATTTTTCAATATCTTTAAGTTCATTTGCTTATTTCCTTGACCTCCTCACACCTCCCCTTTTTGTGTTCCCATTTACATAATCAATTCAGCAAATCCTTACCTTCTTTCATTTATCTTAACTCTATATCTTAACCTATTATGACTATGCATTTTCATCCATTATCAATCCATATTTGCATATTCTTATTAACCTTGTTACCAATACCACTTATTTTCAATCCAACATCATTTTAACATTCATTAATTTTACAGTATTTCTGCAGGTAGTCTTTAAATTTCTTCCAATCTTCTTCCACCAACTCTTCTCCCTGGTCTCGGATTCTGCCAGTCATTTCTGCCAATTCCATATAGTCCATCACCTTCATCTGCCACTCTTCCAGCGTGGGTAAATCTTGTGTCTTCCAATATTTCGCGATGAGAACATTAATACCATTTCTTTCTCTCTCTCTCCTCCCCCCCGCCCAATCCTATTCAGTTTTCTACTCGTTTTCTCCTGCTTGGTGCTCTCCGTCTTTTCAACCATCGAGGAATATGAGGACAGTTCTGAAGGTGCCCTTTACATTCTGGTGAGTAAACGGAAAGCACAGAACTCAGGGCTGAAGTTGCGTGGTGAGTTCCCGCCCCCCCCAGTGGAAATAGAGAAACATGACACAATTATTAAGGTTAATGGGCTAAATAAGACCACAACTTTATTGGTTACAGGTGATGAGCGGTACTGGCTTAGGCATTGGTCCTAACTGACTATATCCAGCTTCAGCCTGTCTGCTTGAAGTCCGGGAAGGGTTAACCACCAGTAGGGGGAGTCCTGCTGATGCACATCAACTAGGAACTCCCCAGGGTCACCGCTCGGGGGCGTGCCTTAGGCCCTCACCTCCTTAGGCTTCGGACAGGGCCACCCTCCCCCCGGAATCCTTTACCGGACTACCCTTCAATATGCAGGGCAGGAGATGGCGCTTCTTCCCCTCTTCCATCTACATAACAATACCAATGCCTAACCGCCAATAGCAAGAAAGTTGTGACGGTTTGCTATGAGGTAGGTGAAAAACCAAGTGGCTGGTGCCAATTTGCCAAGTGGAAAAAATTCCTACCAGGCCCCTTAACGGCGACCAACCGAGGTCCATAGCAAGGTCAAGGATGGAAACCTTAAAGGGCGGGAGGGTGGGAAACTGGAGCAGCTGGAGGCGGCAAAAGAGGGAGATCCCCGGCCGCGCCAGTGATAAATAGGGCAGGCCACGCCCCCTGAGCCAGCTGATTGGCTGTCCAGGGGTGGCGCGGCCGGGGATTCCATCAATTGTGCAGAGGCTGAGAGCCAGCCGCCGCGTGCGCGTGGTGGGGGCGTGAAGCCCGCAACCCAACCTCCTTTTGGAGGGCAAAACTGGCTTTCTGAAATAGTCGTTGCTAGGGTTGAACAAGTTCAGCTTGACAAAGTTCACTGAATCAGTTCAGATATCCCTGAACCACACCCTGAAGCAGTTCCCGTAGTTGCCGGGTGAACTGAACATGAATCAAGTTTATTTTGAACTTGGCAGGATTTCTAGTCCATCTCCAAGCGCATTCTTTTACATGTGTTTCTGACTTTTTAGACAAGTGTTTCTTGGACAAACTTCTTTTTTTTTTGGGGGGGGAGTGCCCCATTGGTTCCACAAACTCACCCCCCCAGTGCCCCCTACCCTATAAAAAACATTATTCAGAACAGGAGTCACTAAGGAAGAAAATTCCACAATGAAATTCAGAACAGTAACAATGAATTGCGCATTTATTAAAAATCCACTGAAAACTATTGAGTTCAGTGGATTCCATAAGATAGATGAACTTGATCCAGTGATACCAGCATTCCAAAGTCCAATAGTGATTGACGCCTGCAGTGCCCCTTGCCTCTTGGCACTACCCACTGTGGAAAGCACTGCGCTTGGTCTTTAAACTGAAAGACTCTTGGTCTTTTAAGCTTAAAGATCATACGGAAATGTTGGGGAAAGCAAATCAACTATTTGAAGCTGAATTTTATATTTTCTATATCCTTTAAGAAGTGAGTTTAGCCTCAATTACTGCTTTGGGTATCTAGAAATCTCAGAAATGGACATTGCAGCTGCAGTCACAAATGTCTGAATTTGCATCTGTTGGCTTCTCGTAGTTTCTAAATTTCCCGCTTTCATCGCTGTGTGGTGATTGGATAGGGACAACGGCAGAATTCATAGAATCAAAGCAGTGCTCTCTTCCTCCGCAATGTGTGCCGTGGTGCTCATATGATCTGACACAAAGCTGACTAGTTTTGCATCTTTTTAACAGCTTGACTTTCCTCTGCACTGCTTCCTAGGCTGCTGGTGGCAGGTTGAGTGATAGCTAGGAGGATTCTTGGTGGCGCAGACACTTTGCAGGCTTCCCAGAATGCTTTGTGGCTCCCGATACTTCCCTCTAATAACATTAAGATCTTCATCAGAGGAACTGCAATGCGCGGCAGAGAGGAAATATGGGGAGGAAAGCTCGATATTTCTGACAATCTCACCTCTGTGGCCACGGGAGAAAGGGAATGACGAGATTTCCATGAAAGCAATAGCCAGCTTTGGTAATGGGACCTCCTATCAGATACTGGAGAATCACACCCATTCACCAACAAAGAGATAGCAAATTATCATGGGGTGAGCTACTGGGTTCTTGGGGATCTAGGAAAGGATACTGGCTCCCTGACCATGTCCCCTAATGACACCCCATAAAGGTAATCCACTAAAAAAACAACTAGCATTTGATTGACATTGGAGAGAGACTGAGTTGAGAAATAAAACCAAGGGTACATATTGATATAGGAAGGTATTAGACAAAATGTAAAGAAATATACAATAATAAGAGTACATTCAATTGTAAAAAAGGAATATGCAACGGGATAGACAGGAAGTCCAAAGTGTTGATACAGATATGAGTTTGGAATAGTTTTTTGTCCTTGTCCCCCCCCCCTTTTTATCTTTAGGTATATAAACTTTGTATATAAATTTTGTATACATGTTGAAAATTATATGATAAATAAGCATTGTATTGTAATATGATATTCTTTACCGATGTAACATAAGAACGTTTATAAATAAATAAAATAAAAAGACAGACGGATGCCAAAAATAAAAAATAAAATAAAAGAAGAGCTACCTGTAGGTTATTATTTTTTTACGTGAAGGAATTGCATTTGATTATGGATAGATAACTAATTCTAACATATATTCTCCAAATTGGGTTATTAAGACATGGAAGTAGTTCTGAAAACACCCTGGCTGTGGATTAGTCCCAAAAAAATACCTATTTCTTTCTGGAATTGACTTCTGGGGAAAGAAAAGTGCACATGCAAAACCGAGGGTGCTTCTAGATGAGAGTTTATTGCGGGCTTCTTGCTTCTTTTTTTTTATTATTTTCTTTTTATTAATTTCAATTCATTACACAAACATTCAAACAACAGAGAAAAAAGAAAAACATACCAAACACAGAAAAAGAAAAACATACCAAACACAGAAAAAAAAAAAGAAATTTCATAACAAAAAACACTGACAAATCAAACCGACAATAAATGACTTCCCTTCATCTCTGGTTTCGGAGTATGATACACAATATTGTAATCTGCAGTTTCGTTTTCTTAAATCTCTTTGCGTCACAGGCGTAATTTCTAGCCTACTGTGATTTTTAAGTTTTTAACCTCTAGTTCAATATATGACATAAATTTATTCCATTCATCATTAAACTTTGTGGTCTTTTGGTTTCTTATTTTCTGTGTCATTCTTCAAGCATAGAAGCTTCTTGCATAGAAGCATAGAAGCTTCTTGCTTCTAATGCCTGCATGTTTTCCCTCCAGTGCCATGCGATGATGTTGGCATCATATTTCCATCTCCCATTTGAGACAGATTTTCTGGGGGAAATACAGTAAGCAACCCCCCCCCCCCGCAGCAATAAACAACAGCAGCAACCATAAATAATAACAACAAAAACCTGTTGCTTGCAACCCATTTGCAATATCTTTGCGATGCATTTGCAAAGGAAGTCCCTGTCTGGGAACACCCTGATCCTAAAGGATTGCCTTTCTTGTGTTGCCATGCTGGATTTATAATACTTTCTTCGCTGCAGGAAATAGTCACCATTGTGGTCTTCGGTGTGGAGTATTTTGTAAGGATCTGGGCTGCCGGCTGCTGCTGCCGATACCGTGGCTGGAGAGGAAGGTTGAAGTTCGCCCGAAAACCCTTCTGTGTCATCGGTAAGAAGTGCTTTTTGGCTGAGTTGGCTGCTTCTGGTTGCAAATTGTTATGTACTGAAGTTCTCACCCTGGGCCAGCAGGGGGATACTGTAGACTCAGGTCTACATATGCAAATAGGGGATTGAAAGTGACATTCAGTGATTGGCTAGTTACAGAAAGTTGTTGCAGTTACGTTGTACTGGAGCTCGATATAAGCAGGCTCGCTGAACCCTTTAGTTCAGTTCTGTTCTGGCCTGTGAATAAACAAGAGCTGTTTTGAAGAATCGCTGTGTCATCTGATATGTTCACCCACAACTTAACACAAATAATTGTTCAATCTGCCTGCTGGGAAAAGAGTCTCTAAACCAGAGCTTTCCAAACTTTTCATGTTGGCGACACATTTTTTAGACATGCATCATTTTTCAACACCATAATTCAGTTTTACTAGCAAACCGGAGGTTAAACAACCCCCTTATAAGAGTGTTCGCGCGACACACCTACACAATGCAGCCGACACACTGACGTGTCGTGACACACAGTTTGGAAAGCTCTGATCTAAAGAGTAATAGATTGTGAGAGCCTTGTGGATCCTGCCCACAGCAGCTTGCATAATGCCTAGCCCAGGGGTCAGCAAACTTTTTCAGCAGGGGGCCGGTCTACTGCCCCTCAGGCCTTGTGGGGGGCCGGACTATATTTTGAAAAAAAATTATGAATGAATTCCTACGCCCCACAAATAACCCAGAGATGCATTTTAAATAAAAGGACACATTCTACTCCTGTAAAAACACACTGGTTCCTGGGACCGTCCATGGGCCGGATTTAGAAGGCGATTGGGCCAGATCCAGTCCCTGGGCCTTAGTTTGCCTACCCATGGCCTAGCCAACTTGAAGGCTCAAAAAATTGCAGAAGGTTGTAATAATTGCAGAGCCTCAGAACTTGTTCTCGTGGAAAACAATGGACAAGGATGAATTGCTGCATCTCTCACTGACAGTGCTTCGCACCCCAAATGGATTTTTCTTGCCTGAAATGGGTCCTTGAATTCTGATAATGCTTCTTCCTTGTCTGGATAAAGCAGGGATGGAGAACCGCTGCTCTGCAGGCCAGATTTCGCCCAGCGTGGGTCCCAGTTTGGCCAGTGAGGCTGTTTCCCACCAAACCATGCCCACCAGCCCGACACCTGATGTGGCTGAATTGGCTGCATGACAAATTTCCCCATCAGGAGGAGGCTAAACATGTACACACTAAACACTAGTCTAGTGATACATCTAGACAAGGCCAAACACCCCCAGATGTGGAAGAAGCATTTAACGTAACATGTTGTTTGGCCCATAGCATGCACCTGGAAGCTTAAAATGACACGGAAGGGCAGAAAAAGTTGGATTAAGTGAAAATGTTATACTCTGCAAAGAGAAGGTACACAAATACAGTGGAACCTTGGTTCTTGAACTGCTTAATTGATGAACAAATCGGCTCCCGAACACTGAAAACCCGGAACTAAGTGTTCTGGTTTTTGAATGTTTTTCAGAAGCCGAATGTCTGAAGCGGCTGTCAGCTATTGTTTCCAGGACACCTGCGCCAATCGGAAGCCGTGCCTTGGTTTTCGAACGTTTTGGGAGTCGAACGGACTTCCGGAATGGATTAAGTTCAAGAACCAAGGTTCCACTGTACAAATATAAATACAAATAATAAAAACAGCCTTTCTTCTCTTTCCACCTGGTATGCAGGCTGAGACCCTACCTGCCTGTGGACTGTCTTGCCAGAGTGGTGCATGCTCTAGTTATCTCCCACTTGGACTACTGCAATGCGCTCTACGTGGGGCTACCTTTGAAGGTGACTCGGAAACTGCAATTAATCCAGAAAGCAGCAGCTAGACTGGTGACTGGGAGTGGCCGCCGGGACCACATAACACCGGTCCTGAGAGATCTGCATTGGCTCCCTGTACGTTTCCGAGCACAATTCAAAGTGTTGGTGCTGACCTTTAAAGCCCTAAACGGCCTTGGTCCTGTATACCTGAAGGAGCATCTCCATCCCCATCATTCAGCCCAGATACTGAGATCCAGCTCTGAGGGCCTTCTGGTGGTTCCCTCATTGCGAGAAGTTAGGTTACAGGGAACCAGACAGAGGGCCTTCTCGGTAGTGGCACCCGCCCTGTGGAACGCCCTCCCTTCAGATGTGAAGGAAATAAGCAGCTATCTTATCTTTAAAAAACATCTGAAGGCAGCCCTGTTTAGGGAAGTTTTTAATATTTAATGCTGTATTCTTTTTAACACTTGATTGGAAGCTGCTCAGAGTGGCTGGGGAAACTCAGCCAGATGGGCGGGGTATCAATAATAAATTATTATTATTAAATTATTATTATTATTATTCCATCCTTGCTTATCCATACACAGACATCATGGTGTTAATTGCTTCCATCGCTGTGCTGGCTGCTGGATCCCAGGGGAATGTCTTTGCCACCTCTGCGCTCAGAAGTTTGAGGTTTCTGCAGATCCTGCGCATGATCCGAATGGACCGCCGAGGAGGCACTTGGAAGCTTCTCGGGTCGGTGGTGTATGCCCACAGCAAGGTGAGCAGCAGAGACCTGGGCAATCAGCCCTTGTTATATAGCCTGATTTGATTTAATAAGTTGCGTGCCGCTTTCCCATCAACCGTGGCTGACGATCGTCACGAGAGCATTAAAAAATGAGCAAACATTTCTGCTGCTGCAGAAATAGGACTCATGGGAGCTGCAGTCCCAGAGATCTGGAGGGCACCTGTTTTGCAAAGGCTGCTCTGTGCATTACGGAAAAACCGTTGCATTTGAGACGTGCTGTTCCATTCTTTCTTCTTCATTGTGTTGCAGGAGCTGATCACTGCCTGGTATATTGGTTTCCTTTGCCTCATTCTAGCCTCCTTCCTGGTGTACTTGGCTGAGAAGGGAGAAAACGATCACTTTGACACCTATGCAGATGCACTCTGGTGGGGCTTGGTGAGTATCGCCTTGAGGTCAATTTCTTGCCATGACAGTGAAGTAGCTGCTACGAGCCCTAGTCTTAAGCACTAGGAAATATTAGTTTCTTATGCACTTCTGACAATGGATCCAACCTTGGCCTTGCACGATGTGGATATCTGCTCCTGCTCCTCTTTCTCTTGTGATTTCAGCTTGCACTTTCACACTCTTTTGAGGGCCAAACTTGGTATGAGATAATGGTGTGAACTGTGCATCTCTTCAGGATGATTGCCAATAGCCGATACAGTGGTACCTTGGTTCTCGAACGCCTTGGTACTCAAACAACTTGGAACCTAAACACTGCAAACCTGGAAGTAAGTGTTCCAGTTTGTGAACTTTTTGCAGAAGCTGAACATGCTCCGTTTTGAGTGTTATGCTTCCGATTTGAGTGCCACACTTCCGTTTTGAGTGTTACGCTGAGCTCTGTCTCTTTTTGCTATTTATTTTGCGTTTTCGGTTTTGCGGCTTTTTTGTTTTGTTTTTGTGACTGTGTGGAACCCAGTTCAGCTACTGATCGATTGATTGTTTGACTGCAGTACATCGCTTTCATTTTATGGATCAGTGATCTCGTTAGATAGTAAAATTCACATTAAACTGCTGTTTTAGGGGTTGTTTTTAAAAGTCTGGAATGGATTAATCCATTTTGCATTACTTTCTATGGGAAAGCGCGCCTTGGTTTTGGAACACTTTGGTTTTGGAATGGACTTCCGGAACGGATTAAGTTTGAGAACCAAGGTACCACTGTATTGCGTGAGCAGAGGCTCTAAGATCGAGACACAAAGCAGTGAAGTTTTACTGGGATCCTAGAGAGGGAGCCCCCTAAACACCCCAAATTGGAGAGTGTGTCCCCTCTCTGTTGTGTCTGCTCCCAGAGCTTGCGGTACGGAAGCGGGAGCACGAGAATTGAACTTCGACTTTTCTTCCTTGATTGGGAATGTCCTGGGAAAATAGGGACACTTGCAAAATTACAGAAGCCATCCTGGTGGTCAGAGGTGGGGCGTGAGTGGAAGAAGTGACCAAGGAGGAAAGAGAGTCAGCAGCCGCCTAATGAAATGAAAAAGGTATTCAAATATACCTTCCTGAAGAAACCAGAGGCCTTTCCCCTGGGCATGGTCGGCCAATTGGAATTAAAGAAGGATAGAACTTGTTTTATGTATGCAACAACAGCAGCAAGAATACTCATCGCGAAATATTGGAAGACACAAGATTTACCCACCCGGGAAGAATGGCAGATGAAGTTGATGGACTATATGGAACTGGCGGAAATGACTGGCAGAATCCGAGACTAGGGAGAAGAGTCGGTGGAAGAAGACTGGAAAAAGTTTAAAGACTATTTACAGAAATATTGTAAAATTAAAGAATGTTAGAAGAATGTTGGAATGAAGTTATATGGCTTTAGTATAAATGTTATAAGGAATTAAGTATAAATAGATTAATAGAATATTAAAGGAAAAAATAAGGTTAGTTTGTGTTAAGATAATTATAGGATAGAAAACAGAGTAAGATGGAAAGGAATTGCTGAAACAATTAACAGAAGTGGAATACAAAAAGGGAGGTGTGAGGAGGTCATTGAAATAAGCGAATGAAAGATAAGATATTGAAATTGTTTGATGTGTTTCAAACTGTTTTTGTTTTGTTTTGTTAGTTTAATGTGTTAGTGTTATGTAGTGTTTTTGTATTGTATTGTTGTTGTTTTTTCTTTCCTTTTTTGTAGTGTTTAAATTGTTGGAAAAGTAATAAATATTAATTTTTTTTAAAAAAGAGAGTAAGCAGCCGCCATGTAGGGACTGTGGCAGGGAAGGCAGTGTGTGTATTTGGGAGCCGCGATCTTGTATTTCCAGCTGAGGAATGTGGGAGGGTGTGCCGTTTCTACAGAGCCCCCTGTCGTTTCACGGACTATTGACCTGTACACCACTACTTTATTCTTCCGCTGCCACCAACCAGGTTTCTTCTGGTGAAATACTGAGTCTCAGTCAGGTTGTAAAGTCAACGATGTAGATTAAAGTTTATTGAAGAACAAACAAGTTTCAAATATATTCAGAACGGTAACCCTTGAAACGCGGTCCAGGACCGGTCCAGAATATGGAGGTTCCGCTAGGAGTCAGTCCGACAGGGCCAAGGCAGGACACCAGGCAAGGACAGGTACAGGATCTCAGGCAGGATCTAGCATACAGCAATGTCGCTCCCACAACCTGGGGCGGGGTCCGACAGCCTTTTATCTTTGTCGGGGTAATGTCCGGTCCTGATCCCCCGGCGACTCACGTCCCTGTTTCGCCCAAAGGCGAGCACTCCGGTCTCTCCTTCTCTCAGACCCCAGTCTCTGCAGCTCAGGGGATGTTGGTGGGTTACTAGAGCCAGGGGCTGCCTCAGCCTCCCCTGACCAAACCGGTAGTGGAGCAGCTATAAGTGATGGCTCAGCTGGAGGCAACGAGGTAATCCCCACATCTGGAACCAGGGCAGCATCAGGCCCCTGACTGGCCCAGCTGGTGTTTGTTGCAGGGGAACCTGGGCAGACTGGGTCTCTTCAGGATCAGGCCCCAGACTTGGTTCGAATGATGCCTGAGGCAAAGGATCCAGTGCGGACTGAGTCTCCTCTGGTTCTGAGTCCAAGCCCGAGTCCCAGGCCATCACAGCGCCCTTAACTAGATGTGGCACTATCTCACACTGTCACACTCTCCTCTCTCAGTTCTATCCCTGTTTCTCACTCTAGCTGTCACAACCGCTTTGTTTGTCTTTTATTGCCTCTGTCTGACCCTCACTTCTCTTATCTCCCAGTGGTAAAACCCCTGAGCTGAGCCTCAAAACCGGGGTAGGCTCCACCTCTGAGCTTTCTCATTGGTCAATCTACATTAACCATTTCCATCCCCCTGTACAAACAAAATCAGAAAGAATGTGCAAACGCCACAGAGGGGATGTGATGGTTAGGAGACTGTGTTTTTGGCTTTATTCCTTACAACGCCGCTTCTTAATGTGTTGCTTAACGTGTTGTGAGTGTGCTTTGTAAAATCAGCCAAGAATCTCTGCTAGGAGAGTGTGAATACTTGTGAGCTTTGTACAGAAGCAAGGCGAGATGGTGCTTTTGTTCTGCCTTTGTCTTCCTGTGTGCAGATTATCAGATTAAGAGAATAACAAAGTGACAATTAGCGAGGTTCTCTGGCAGATGTAGTTGTCCTTTTGTTTCCCCTGTTTTTCTCGATCTTGTTCAGGTGAGGAGTTTGGGCCTTCCTTGCAAAGTGCGTGGATTAAGCCACAGATGGAGGAACGAATCAAAATTCCAACAGCTCCCAAGTTTGGAAAGAAAAATGAATCAGTTAGTCTGTTACATCAACAGAGGGAGCCGTAGGGGGTGGGAAAAGCAGCCTGCTCTCCAAGATTTGCAAGCGGAATGCAAAGCAGCAAAGGGGAGTGGAGTCTGTAGACTTTAATGAAAATCCCAAAGGTCTTTTGCAAGGGATGGTGTGTGTGTGTGTGTGTGTTTTGTGGCGTAGTCATGCTGCTGCCTGTGACTTTTAGAAAGGGTATTATATTTCGTATTATAACATCACAGTGTGGAGACGGCTCAGGCCTATAATAAGTTAAAAATAGTATTAAAAATGGCATGGATGTTGTAGGTGGAGATTTGCATTACTCATCGCCAGGGATGTGATGGGCACCATCTGGTAGGTGCCAACAATGTACCTATAGTCTACGCATTTCTACAACTGAAGCGTGACGTGGGAGAAAGAAAAGAGAGGAAGAAACGCAACCACATGGCGCTGACATTTCCTCATTCCCCAAATGCTGCATTTTGAGTGTTGGGGAAATGTTGCTGCAAGAGAAGTATTTCTGAGGTCCAGCACCAAAGGCCGCCTGGAGGTTCCCTCACTGCCAGAAGTAAAGTTATAGGGAACCAGGCAGAGGGCCTTCTCGGTAGTGGCACCCAACCTGTGGAACCCCCATCGTTCAGCCCGGACACTGAGGTCCAGCGCTGAGGGCCTTCTGGCGGTTCCCTCATTGTGAGAAGTGAGGTTACAGGGAACCAGGCAGAGGGCCTTCTCGGTAGTGGCGCCCGCCCTGTGGAACGTCCTCCCTTCAGATGTGAAGAAAATAAGCAGCTATCTTATCTTTAAAAGACATCTGAAGGCAGCCCTGTTTAGGGAAGTTTTTAATATTTAATGCTGTATTGTTTTTAACACTCGATTGGAAGCTGCCCAGAGTGGCTGGGGAAATTCAGCCAGATGGGTGGGGTATAAATAAATTATTATTATTATTATTATTATTATTATTATTATTATTATTATTAATTACTATTTTCAGTATCCTGTTGGAAGCTGCCCAGAGTGGCTGGGGAGACCTGGCAAAAAGGGTGCGGTATAAGTAATATATTTATTATTATTATTATTATTATTATTATTATTATTATTATTATTATTATTATTATTATTATTTTCTTTGATGTTAGATGCTTTGCATTGGCTGAGCCAGTGTTGGTGAACTGGCTTCCTGTTTTAGAGGCTGCTCCTGGTAACCGAGATGAAGAGGAAGTGGGGAGGTTGGCTCGGTGTGGGCACGGTGGCAGACCCACTCTGACGCTCCTGCTGCTGTGCCCGCACTGTAGTGACCTCTTCACCCCTTCGCCTTTTCAGTTACCAGCAGCAATCTCCATATTGGGAAGCCAGGTGAGCAATGATTGCCCACTCAGCGTCACCTGTTTGCTGCTCTTCCCCCCTGCCCATTTTACAAAATTGATTTAATAATAATAATAATAATAATAATAATAATAATAATAATAAATTTTATTTGTATCCCGCTCTCCCCAGCCAAAGCCAGGCTCAGAGTGGCTAATATCATATAAATAAGACAATATGCATAATACAATATACAATATGCAAATAAAATAACATTCAACATTCAGTAAAATAATATAAAATAATATTAAATATCAGCATTTCAAAATTAAACAGAAATCCACTCAACAATTACAATAAGTAATTTCTAAACTCCAATCAATAAAACAACAGCAAACCACAGTGCACAACATAATACAATACAAAATAATAACAACAGGTAGGCTTACGCAAAAAGAAATGAAAGAAAAACTAGGGTTCATAATAATAATAATAATAATAATAATAATAATAGATTAGTTGTCACAATTGTCAGTAAAGAAATATGTGATTTACTGAGTCAATAATAAAACTTGCATGCGGATTTTCCCCCCAAACTATGGTTGTCTAGTAAAAACAAAGCCATTTGCCCCAAGCCTGGGGGTCCTTTGCCAGCTTGAAAAAGAGCTGATCTCCATTGATTAGCAAAATGCTAATTGCCTTGCGAGAACGGTAGGCGCTTTGGCAATTTTGGCCTTGCAGTAAACCCCCAACCTCCCTAGCCGTCTCCCTGAATTCTCTCCCCGCTTCCCCTAGCTCCTATTTTAGGACTGCAATACTAGGAAGAAAGGGAGAGTGGGACCACTAGGGGCGCATCAGAAGATGGCTGACAATAACATCTCTCCTTGAGGAAAGGCCACCATGGACAAAAGTTCAGCCCCTCCCCACCCCAGATTATGCATTCTGCTCTTTCCTCTTTCCCCTCGGTACAGAGGAAAAGGACCACCTGGAAGAACTGCAGCAAGGAAAAAGAGTTAAACAAGTGGTTAAAATTCTCAGTCACAGAAACAGATAATTGGATTAGTCATGCAGTGGATTTACCTGGGCTGTACCATTTCAGCTTGCAACATGTAGGAACCTTCATTTGTTGGAATATTTTTGAAGATAAGCAACTACATCACACACAAAACAAGTGTATCACTACGGAGAAAGGTTCTAGCCCAGATGCGACAGGTTATTTTTGTAACTGATGATACTTTTCTCATTCGGTGATAGTTTCATTCTCCCCTTGCTGATGAACTCAGCAAAATAAATCGGAGGACACCATTTTCCCAATTCAGATTATTTTGCCAAAAATCCTGTGTTCGCCCCAATATTTTATTTTATTTTTGTCCAAACACTATTCCCATTTGTGAATGAATGCCTATGGATGTAGACTAGCACAAAATTAGCATAAGGTTCTTAGTTTTAAAAAAGTCAGAAAATATACAAAATATACAAAATTAAGTGAACAATTGGTAAACCCATTGAAAGATGTGATGAATGAGATTTTAAAAACAGGTAAAATCCCAGAAACATGGAAAGAAGCCTATATTACAGTATGTAAGGTAATGAGAATAATGTAGAAAAATAAGAAAATGCAGTTAAAAAGGAAATCATGGAAAGGGTGGAAGGGAAGTAAAAGTAAAGACATACAGGAATTAAACAATTTGGAGGAATGTAGATATATTACCATTTTTATTATATGCTCATGTTTTATGTTTAGGTTATCACTTTATTTTTGTTTTAAGCACGAATGTAACAGAGTACGTACTGATGGCAAGATATAACAGAAAAGCAAATAAAAATATTATTAAAAAAGTCAGAAGATACAATATTAATTTCTCTTAGGAAAGAATTACTGGGAGTGAAATTTCATATGGAAATATTTTATTCTTTTGAAAAAGTGTGCAGTCTATTAGACACCGAACCAACAATACCCTTGAAGAGCCACTATTGATGATATCTGCCTTTCCTCAGATTACACTGACTACCATTGGCTACGGGGACAAATATCCGCAAACCTGGAATGGACGCCTCCTTGCTGCAACTTTCACCCTGATTGGCGTTTCCTTTTTCGCTCTTCCAGCTGTAAGTAGGACATTTTTATTAAGCTCAGTGATGAAAGTAGCATTGGCATGATGTTGCGGGAAATGACTTTTTTAACCCCTTCATTACTCTGTATGATTCATTGTTCTACATCGAGAGTGGAGAACCAAGCCAGCGATTTAGTCCCTGATCATCAGCTGATGAGTGGGAGTTAAGCCATACTCGGCTCAGCAGTTCTACTGATTCAATGGATTTTGACAGGTGGGCGGGACAACCTGCCTGCCAATCATGCGGTGTCCTAACAATGTCACCTTTGGCCAGCGAGGCCAATTCTAACCAGGCCTGGTGGAGCCAAAGAGGTTCTTTACCCTGTTTCACAAGGACAGATACCCCTGAGGTTGCTGCAGAGGTGGTGAGTTTGGAGTTGCTCTCCTGAATCATCAGCAGTTGGGTCCAGTTCAGATGATATTTCTGAAGTCTGATCTTGCCCTGCCCATGTCGCTGGTGCATGGTCCCAGCTCCACCACACTTCCACATGGAAGGTCATACAGCCATGGATTTGCGTGGCGAGTTTCCCGCCCCACACCAGGATAAATAAAGACACGAGACACCATAGTTTAAGGTTAAATGGGAGAATTAGGCCACAACTTTATTGAATTCAGGAATGAGAGGCATTGGCTTAGGCATTGGTCCTAACGACTATCCGGCTCCAGCCCACTTGCTGGAGACACGGGGAAGGGTTAACACTATATCGGGGGAGTCTCCCGCTGAGGCACGTCGACTAGGAGCTCCCCCGGGTCACCGCTCTGGGGCGTGCCTTTGGCCCTCACCTCCATAGGCTTCGGACAAGGCCACGCCCCCCGGAGTCCTTTAACGGACTACCCTTCTCTCACTGGGGGGAGGTGATGGCGTTCCTCCCCCCCACATCCTCTTAACCCCTTCTTACCAATGCCTACCGCCAATGCCGAAAAGTTGTGACGAGTTGCTACGAGGTAGGCGAAAAACCAAATGGCTGAAATTGCCAATTGGGAAAAAATTCCTACCATGCCCCTTGCGGCGACAGACCGAAGTCCATAGCAAAGTCAGAGACCTAAAGCCTACCTAAAGGGAGGGAGGGTGGGAAAACGTGAGGGCTAGCCAGTGAAAAGAGGGCGAGGCCCCTCTGCATCGGCCCTAAATAGGGCAGGTCACGGCCGGGATTCCCCTGCTCTCGCGGGGGCTGAAACCACTCACATGGGGGGTGGGCGTGAAGCCCGCAACCCCACCTCCTGGGCAGGCCGGAAGTGGCTTTAGTTTTTTAATTCAAATCACTTTTGTAGATCACAGGTACACCTATTCCCAGGGTAAGAGAGAAGGGAGTCTGGAGTCTGGATTAGTAGTAGACAACGTATTGGGGAAGTGCTGTAGCACCTGACCTCCTGACAGGTGAAGTGGTTAAGAAGTTGACACAGCGCAGATGTGCTGGCAGAGCCAATCTGGTGCTACTGTTTCTGATTGCCACAAACCTGCCATTGATTCCCCTTGGGGAGGTCTCATCTGAGAATGCAGCCTTATCACGTTACAGTGGAGGCGAGATCCTTCAGGGCTGCATTTCTCGCAGCACCAAAGAGGCAAGGAAAGGATTTCAAGATTGGCCAGCTTCGTTAACGCGGGACTCCAAATTCCAGATCTCTGCCCCCGCCAAACTGATGTCCAAGTTTTGTGCTGCAATCCCCACGTTTTGTGCAGCCGCCTCCGCTAAGACTGAGCAATAGACACTCAAACTGGGGTTGCAAGTGAAGGGCCAACAACCCAGCCTTGTCCGATTGACTCCAAACCAGTGCCAGAGCAGCGTGCTGGTTTGGGGCCATTTGGGGCCGCAAACCCCGCTTTCTGTGCTGCCCCCCAAACTGAGTAACTGATGCTCAACCCAAGGGCTGATGTACTTGCACTGCACCAACCTTCCCTGACCACTGCCACCTCCCTCCTTTCAAGTAAGCAGCAGCAACGCAGGCGTCGGCAGGTCAGGTGACCTGACTGCCGCTGCCCGATCACATGATCTGTTGCTGGCCTAGATGCCTCTATAGATTCAGGTCCTCCTCTGTGTGTTTTTCACTTATTCTCTAGATACTTGAAGATAATGTGTCCCTTCTACTAGTGATTCTTAAAGGGGCATGATTTCCCCCTCAATGCAATCTGGTATAAGGGGCAGACGAATGAATCCATTGACCATGTTAACTGGAAATAGCACTATTCATTATTCCCAGGGTATTCTAGGTTCTGGATTTGCGCTGAAGGTTCAAGAGCAGCACCGTCAAAAGCACTTTGAGAAGAGGAGGAACCCTGCAGCGGGCCTGATTCAGGTGAGAAGACTGGGATGTGGGTGCTTGGAGGGGGCCAGAACAGGAAGATCGGGGTCTGCAATCTGTGCCCATGGGGGGCAAAAAGCAGGGAGGGGGTGGAGAGGAAAGAGAGAGAGAGAGAGGGAGAAGTGAGCCTCAAGCGGACGCTAAACAAAACAATTAAATGGTATTTTACGGTTGGTTTTAATTGACAGCTGCCCCGAGTGGAACATAAGAAACAGAAGGGTGGGATATAAATTTTCAAATCAATGCAGTCCCATGAGCAGGTCTTTGCAGGCTTTCTGAGCCAGGCGAGTCTTCAAGGGCAGCTCTCTGTGGGGGAACACTCGGGTGTGCGTCTTGCAAAATGAGGGGATGCGGGTGGCGCTGTGGTCTAAACCACCAAGCCTCTTGGGCTTGCTGAAGGTCAGAGGTTCGAATCCGTTCAACGGTGTGAGCATCTGTTGCTTTGTCCTAGCTCCTGCCAACCTCACAGTCCGAAAGCATGCCAGTGTGAGTAGATAAATAGGTACCACTGCGGCAGGAAGGTAAACAGCATTTCCATGCACTCTGGTTTCTGTCACGGTGTTTTGTTGTGCCAGTAGTGGTTTAGTCATGCTGGCCACATGACCCAGAAAAGCTGTCTGTGGACAATGCCAGTTCCCTCGGCCTGAAAGCAGAGATTAGCACCGCAACCCCATAGTCGATTTCGCGTGGACTTAACTGTCCTTTTACCTTTACCTTGCTAAATGCCAGTTCGCCAAGATTACTCTGATGCAACAGAGCCAAGAGTGCTGGGCATCTTTACACATGTTACATTGCCTTCATAAAGGTAAAGGTAAAGGGACCCCTGACCATTAGGTCCAGTCGTGGCCGACTCTGGGGTTGCGGCGCTCATCTCGCTTTACTGGCTTAGGGAGCTGGCGTACAGCTTCCAGGTCATGTGGCCAGCATGACTAAACCGCTTCTGGCGAACCAGAGCAGCACACGGAAATGCCATTTACCTTCCTGCTGGAGCGGTACCTGTTTATCTACTTTCACTTAGATTTGCTTTTGAACTGCTAGGTTGGCAGGAGCAGGGACCGAGCAACGGGAGCTCACCCCGTCGCGGGGATTCGAACTGCTGGCCTTCTGATCGGCAAATCCTAGGCTCTGTGGTTTAGCCCACAGTGCCACCCGCGTCCCATTGCCTTCATAAGGTAAAGGTAAAGGTACCCCTGCCCGTACGGGCCAGTCTTGACAGACTCTAGGGTTGTGCGCCCATCTCACTCTATAGGCCGGGGGCCAGCGCTGTCCGGAGACACTTCCGGGTCACGTGGCCAGCGTGACAAGCTGCATCTGGCGAGCCAGCGCAGCACACGGAACGCCGTTTACCTTCCCGCTAGTAAGCGGTCCCTATTTATCTACTTGCACCCGGGGGTGCTTTCGAACTGCTAGGTTGGCAGGCGCTGGGACCGAGCAGCGGGAGCGCACCCCGCCGCGGGGATTCGAACCGCCGACCTTTCGATCGGCAAGCCCTAGGCGCTGAGGCTTTTACCCACAGCGCCACCCACGTCCCATTGCCTTCATAGTTTTCTACTAATGAGGGGACTTCAGGCATCATCAGACGCTTAGCTAAGGGCAAGAAAAACAGTAGTATCTTAGCTCCACCTGCCTCTGCTCTGGCCTTCCTCTTGAGACTAAAAATACAGCGTTGGACTATTTTCCTTCCTTCCTTCCTCTATAGCCACGAGGCACTTGCTCCTCCCCGGTGGACCAATTCCCACCAGACTCTGAGCCAGAACCCAGAGTTCCATCTGTTTTTCTTAGGCGCAGCATGCCAGCTAATAATTTCCCCCTGATTGCTGTGTGCAGGACTCCAGGGTTTAAAAATAAATAAATCCAACTTCTATTTATACGCTGCAGCAACACATATCAAAGGCTGTGCCAGGGAAATGCTGAATCTGCAATCAGGCGAAATTGCAGGCCTCTCGGCACTCGGGACTCATTACTGCATTTAGATGCCACCCTTTCTCTGAGTTCGGGGCGACTCCCGTCGGGCTTCCCCTTGCCTCCTGGCGCTGCCCCTGCGAGGCGGGACAGGAAGCCAGGTGGGGGAGAGGTGGACATTCAAGGGCAGCTAAGCTCCAAAACTCTTGCTGCTGTGCCACCCTGCATCTCTCCTGCAAAGATTTAGCCTTTAAAAAGAGTTGATCAGTGCGAACCTTTTGCTTGGAAAGTAGTCTTTGAGCCTTGCAACCTGAGGAATGGGTGCAAGCGGTAGTGGCTGGTCTGTTGTGGCAAATGGGGTAGTGCCAGCCTCTACTTGGTTGCCTTCCTATTGTGCAATCAGCTCATGGCTGTCAGCCCCCTCCTTAGTCTCAGGTAGATCTTGGTAGGGAGGAGGATGGAGGCAAAACTAGAATTAATCATCTTTTATATATATGTGTGTGTATTAGTTTTGCATAAAAGTGATACACCATAAACATAACATTTTCACACATTTAAAAAAGGGTTCTTCTGAACCTTGAGAGCTCCTTCCTTTCCTCCATGGGTTCCAATTCTAAGATTTTATTCCTGCACCTTTTACTGTAAACCACAAAGCCTAGGACTTGCCGATCAGAAGGTCGGCGGTTTGAATCCCCGCGACGGGCTGAGCTCCCGTTGCTCGGTCCCTGCTCCTGCCAACCTAGCAGTTCAAAAGCAAGTCTAAGTACAAGTAGATAAACAGGTACCGCTCCAGCAGGAAGGTAAATGGCATTTCCATGTGCTGCTCTGGTTCGCCAGAAGCGGCTTAGTCATGCTGGCCACATGACTGTACACCACATGACTGTACACCAGCTCCCTCGGCCAGTAAAGCGAGATGAGCGCCGCAACCCCAGAGTCGGCCACGACTGGACCTAACGGTCAGGGGTCCTTTATCTTTACCTTTATCTGTTATATAATCATAGTATCCAAAATCCATGTTACTTTACAAGTGTCATTGTATTCCTGCCAATGATTTCAGCTGTTTACAGTGATCTCTCAACTATGTTAGAAAGCTATTCCAGTCTTTAAAAAATACTTGGTCTTCCTGATTTCTGATCTTTCGTGTCAGTCTTGCCATTTCTGCATATTCCATCAGCTTAGTCTTGCCACTCGTCTCTGGTTGGTACTTCTTCTTCTTTCCATCTCTGGGCAAGAAGCATCCTTGCTGCTGTCGTCTCATACATAAACAGTCTTTTATTTTATTTTGGTAGTTCCGCACCTATAACACCTAGCCAAAAAGCCTCTGGTTTTTTTAAACAAAAGTTATCTTAAACATTTTTTTCAACTCATTATATATCATTTCCTAGAAAGCCACCCCACATGATGAAACATATACTTTTTACATATCCTTTTACATTTCCAGCACACATTTGAACTGGTTCTATACATTTTCACAATTTTACTAGGTGTCAAATACCAACGGTACATCGTTTTCATATAAATATAATTTTCTTTCAATGAACAACATTCTGTAAACTTCAAATCCTCTTTTCATAACTTATATTTTCAGGAAGAAAATTGTATATTATAACCAAAATCTCTTACCCAGTGTATCATTACTGATGTAACTTCTAGAATTAGTCATCTCTGTCTGTTGTTGGCTCTGTCTGGCTCTGCCTACCATTGGCCTCTCTGCTTTCCATCCTATTGGTTCCAGTGGGCATCAGCTGCCCGTGGGTGCAAGGGGCGATGCTTAGGTAGGAGGAGAAAAGCTATGTCAATCAAACAGTGTCGGGAAAGGCCATAATCTCAGTGGCAAAAGGTCCCAGGTCCAATTCCTTGCACTTCCAGGTGGGGCTGGGAGAGAACTGCAGAGCCACTGAAAGTCACTGGAGAAAAGACAAAAGTCAAGAGAGCAATTGTGTGACTCAGTCTGTGGCAGCACCGAAGGAGCTTGGGGAGGATAACATTTTTGGAACAGCCCATCATGGTGGAAACGGAGAGCATTTGGAAAGCTGTGCACTGCCAAGGTTAACAGAATTCTAGAGCTGGAAGGGACCTCAAGGAATATCTGGTTTAACCCCCTGCAATGCAGTAATCTCAGCTAACACATCCATGACAGATGGCCATCCAGCCTATGCTTAAAAACCTCCAAGGAAGGAGAGTCCACCACCTCTCGTGGGAGTATGTTCCACTGCTGAACAGCTCTTACTGTCAGTAAGTTCTTCCTGTTGCTGTTGTTGTTTAGTCGTGTCCGACTCTTTGTGACCCCATGGACCAGAGCACGCCAGGCACTCCTGTCTTCCACTGCCTCCCGCAGTTTTGTCAAGCTCATGCTGGTAGCTTCAAGAACACTGTCCAACCATCTTGTCCTCTGTTGTCCCCTTCTCCTTGTGCCCGCCATCTTTCCCAGCATCAGGGTCTTTTCCAGGGAGTCTTTTCTTCTCATGAGGTGGCCAAAATATTGGAGCCTCAGCTTCAGGATCTGTCCTTCCAGTGAGCACTCAGGGCTCATTTCCTTAAGAATGGAGAGGTTTGATCTTCTTGCAGTCCATGGGACTCTCAAGAGTCTCCTCCAGCACCATAATTCAAAAGCATCCATTCTTCAGCTATCAGCCTTCTTTATGGTCCAGCTCTCACTTCTATACATCACTACTGGGAAAACCATAGCTTTAACTATACAGACCTTTGTCGGCAAGGTGATGTCTCTGCTGTTTAAGATGCTGTCTAGGTTTGTCAAGTTCTTCCTATGTTTAGTCAAAATCTCCTTTCATGTAACTTGAAGCTATTGGTTTGGGCCCTACCTTCTGGAGCAGAAGGAAATGAGCTTGCTCCATCTTCCATGTGACAGCCCTTGAGATATTTGAAGATGGCTATCAGTCTCCTCTTTTCCAGGCTAAACATGCTCAACTCCTTTGACCATTCCTCATAAGGCTTGGTTTCCAGACCCTTGATCATCTCAGCCTCCCTCCTCTGCACACATCCCAGCTTGTCAATATTCTTCTTAAATTGTGGTGCCCAGAGCTGGACATAGTATTCCAGGTGTGGTCTGACTAAGGCAGTACTATTACTGCCCTTGATCTGGACGCTATAGTTCTGTTGATGCTTGTCATCTTCAGCTGAGCATCACTTGAGCATGACCCCTCACCAGAAGGAAGCTAGCTTTGTCAGCTAGTCTTAAGCTGGGCAACAGTGGGGAGAGAAGAAGGACTTAGCAGGCAAGCTTAATTAATTACACGGGCAAACTCATCTTTCCTGTGGCCTGAATTCCCACGGCTTTGGCTCTGGAAATGGGGTGCAGGTTTTTGCTGCTGCTCCCAAAACAGATTCCTGTGTGCATACAGACAAGAGTACATTTTCATCTTCTATTTTTTAAAAAATCCAACTTAAGATCACATTCTCCCCATCCCCCTTCATAAGGAGAACTGAAATCTTGGCGTGGGGAGAGAGAGAGAGAGAGAGGGACTGGAAATTGCTGCATAAATCACCCAGCGGCACTGGTGGGGAACTGTTCCTTATTCCCTGGCACAGCTCTTCAGAGTGTGAGAGAGGAAGAATATGGATCTATGCAGGGCATTTGAGGCCAAAGTAAATGCTGCACGAAGTAAACATCTCAAGCTGTGAGGAGCATCACATCTGAGGGGTGTGTGTGGAGAGAGAGAGAGAGAATGTGTGTGCTTGCCTAATCAGTTCCTCCATAGGCTGTTTTTCTGATCAGAATCTCTCCCCCTCTCCATATGGTTTTTCACCCACAGGGGGAATGATACTAACTCTGCCCATTGCTGAGCTTAAAGATAACTGATACGCTGAAGAAACACCTGAGATGGTCTTCCGGTCCTCTTTAAGGATGGGGATTCTGTCGCCTTCCAGGTGCTGTTCAGCTATCCCTTAACACCGACCTTGCTGGCTGGGGCAGATGGGAATTGTAGTCCAAAAGCACCCAAAGACTCCCCGGCTCCCCAGGCCTGGTGTAAATGATAGATTGCAGCAACCAGATCTCTCTCCTTGCTTCCACACCCCTCTTTACATTACACCTGCATCCTCAAGGACCGCCTGTTTCCATATGAACCTACCTGGGCCCTGAGATAATATTCTGAGGCCCTCCTTCGTGTGCCTCCTCCTCAAGAGGTCTGGAGGGCAGCAACACGAGAACGGGGCCTTCTCTGCAGTGGCTCCCCATCTGTGGAATGCTCTCCCCAGGGAAGTTCACCTGGCGCCTTCATTGTACACCTTTAGGCACTAGGCAAAAATGTTCCTCTTTAACCAGGCCTTTGGTTGATCCGATTTACATCCTATGCCCTTTTAAAATGTGTTTTTTGGGGGGCCGGGGGAATTGAGTTGCTGTTTTTATTAGGTATTTTGTGGTTTTATATCTTGATTTTACTCTGTGAAGCGCCCTGAGACTCCCAGGTATAGGGCAGTGTATGAATTCAATAAATAATGATAATAATAATAATTATAATAATTCTTCCCTTCGCAGGCTGCGTGGAGGTTCTATGCCACAAACCTCACTCGAACCGATTTGCATTCGACTTGGAATTACTACGAGCGAACTGTGACCGTCCCCATGTACAGGTCAGTATTTCCTTATTACCCTTCGTTTTTCTTCTGTGGCTGCCCATCTCCATCCTGCATGCGTCTGTTCCGTTACGTTGAAGCAAACCATTCTGCTTTCACCGTTCTTTTAAAAGCTTGCCGGGAGCAGCCGCTGGCGTTTCCGCGAGTTTAGTTTTCTTTTCAATCGTTGCAGATTTATCTCCCTGTTGTTTCCATGCCCATGGTATTAATTTCTTTTCTTTTCTTGTAAATGTGTGTCCGTGTGTACGTTTTGTGTTGGTTTTCATCTTTATTTTTCTGCACTCGCTGTTGGTGTTGTTCTGTGACAGTTGCCACGCCAAATGCCAGAAGACCTCCTGAAGGGCTCCCCCCGAAAGGTAAAAAATAAAAAACCCCACTCTAAAAAACACACCCTCTTCTTGATTTCCCCTGGCAATTTGAGCTGCTCTGGTATTTCAGTGTAATGGGGGATTTTCTGGTGAGTCTGGCTTTTTCAAGCAACCTGGAATAGCCTCTTGTGACTGCAGTTCCTTTGCTTTTCAACGCGCAAGAGTTTGAGAGCAGGAAGCATTGGGGAAGCCCAGGCAATTGAGCTCACCTTCCAGTAAGAGACTTTCAGCTAGAAAGTTAAGCCCAGCTTGGGGGAAGTGACTTGGATGGTGCCAACAGAGAGCTAGCTGGCTGCAGAAATGTGTAGCTGAAGTGGCTGGTGCCTCGGGTTTGACATTTGTAACTCGTGAAATATCTGTGTGGCTTGGCCGCTGGTAGGGCCAATGCAACCCACGGCTTGGAGACTGTGTGTGACAAACTGTGTTGTAGCCCCTTTCCGCTGCAGCAGCAACAACAACACGTTTTGAGAGGGTTCGCCGTGCTCTGTTATCTGCAGTTTGAGGGCAAGCTGTGCTTTGTGCAAACCACGGTTTGCCACATTTGGACATGCCTGCAAACGATGGTTTGTTGTGTACCAGATGTTGGGGTAGAGTCTTATGGAGATGTGCGGCAGGTGGATAGCAGAGCAAGGAAGGCAAAGTCCCAGCCCAAACAGGAAGCCCTTTGTAGCTCTTCTTGTCCCAGTGTGTTCATGCACAACAATTTTGGAAGGGGCTGGTCCAGAGTCTATTTTACCACCAGGAAGTTGCCCTGTGTTGCAGTTCCGATCGTTCCCACATGGATTGCAAGGATTGCTGCCTTCTGTTCTGCTCTTTGTGCTCCAAACAACTTTCTGAATTTCTTGGTGCCATTTTAGCACAGTTGGGGAAACAGGATTTGCCTTCTGTTTTATTTCAATGCTTTTGCAACTCACAGAGCTTCCTTCTATTGCCTTGGCAGCCTTGAGAATCCAGCAAGAGCTATTTTAGACTCCATAGTTAGTAGCTGTGGCAATGTCTTAATCCGACGGACCCATTGACCTATTTTGCTGTTGCGCTGCTCGTTGTGTTTCAAAGTTTTATTTTCAGTTTTTAGGTGTGTGGTATTTTTTTTAAAATAAAAAAAATCCTGGGCACCGAATTTTTGGGAGTTTGCATTCCTGAAATTTATTCTCTGCAAAGTTGCAATGGCCATTGGCCAATATCAATAAAAGCAATTAGATTTTGTTAGGGAAGCCAGCATTGCTTCAGTTTTGCAGGTGGTGAATGTCGAGGCTGAGTGTGAATGACTTTCCTAAGATTACCTGGTGAGTTTATCATCTGGATGAGTGACCAGGAGAGGCAAGCTCAGCCTACAATAATCAGCGTCCTAGGAGACGGATGCCACTGAAAAACACCCCGTGTTCCGTGGGCAACCAGCTGTTTATTATTTATTTATTTATTTATTTCCTAATATTTATACACAGCTTAATTGTAATTGTAAAAAAAAAACCCTCAACGTGATTTCAAAAAAGATAAAACGAAAAAATTACCACTAAGAAAAAAAATGACAGCAATAATTAAAAACTTTCAAATACAGTGGTGCCTTGCAAGACGAAATTAATTCGTTCCGCGGTTTTTTTTCGTCTTGCGAAGCACGGTGTCGGGAAAGTTTTGGAAAAGCTTCAAAAATCACCAAAGTCTTTAAAAACCTCAAAAAAGGCTACCACACCGCGTGCTACGAGTTGCTCCTCGAAGTCAAGTCGCAACTGTATTAACGGTGTTAAGAAAAAGGAAACAAACTTGCAAGATGTTTCCGTCTTGCGAAGCAAGCCCATAGGGAAAATCGTCTTGCGAAGCAGCTCAAAAAACAAAAAAACCCTTTCGTCTAGCGAGTTTTTTGTCTTGCGAGGCATTCGTCTTGCGAGGTACCACTGTAATAGGCAGATCATCAGCTTTCTAAGCACCTCGGGTAGGCTTGTCTAAGCAAAGCTGGTTTTAGTAGACTCTGAAAGGAATACTGTGATATCAATAGGCAGGGAGTTCCACAGATTTCATGGTCTGGGGAGCTGCATGTGGGTAATACAGTAAACCAATTCAGCCCTGATGTTTTCACAGTCTGCCATATTAACATCTTTAAAATGTCTGATGAAATCTGGCTTTAACAGCACCACCAGCATAAGAAAGCAGACCCTTTGAGCATTGCACTTCTATTAACACCGGCAGGTAAATGTGGCTATTTTCAGCTGTGAAGGTGCAGAGCTGACTCTATTCAAAATCTGGGTTGAATACTTTGTTCTAACAGCTTAGCATCTAGGACTGCAGAGCAGAAAGCGTGGGAGAGCCTCAACCCACTTCATCTCCAGAGACACAAAGTCTCTGTGTTTAGTCGTGTTTCTTAAATTTGCAAGTTTCAAGAGCGTCTGCAGTGAGGCCGTATGTTTACAGTGCAATTCTGTTCAAGTGGCGCTTACTCACAGGGAAGTATATCTAGGATTGCAGCCTTGCCTTCGTTTGCACGGACGCACGTACACAGAGCATAAAGGAGGATGGAGGTATAACTCTCTCACACAGAATGAAGATGCTTGCATATAATGCCTAACAGAAAAGTGTGCATGTCTATCCTTTCTAAAAAACAATCCTAATCAGTATAATTAAAGCTTTTCCATACCGTGAAGCAAACGGTCATGTTACATTGTCCAGCACCTCCTCCTCATTTATCCTTGAGCGGCTGAATGCCAGGCTAAAAGAACGTAAGAGATAATTGGATTTTGTCCAGTTGAGTGGCAGCTGGCTTGCTAATCGGCCAGAGCGAGACGTCTGCTAGAAATAAAAAACTGAGCTGCGTTCAGTTTGATTCCTGATGCGTGGCATATCCAAGCAGGCGTTCTGAGTGTGTTTTTGACCACGGATGTTTGTCCGCTATCAGGGCCGTGTGAATGCAAGCGGTCAACAATGGG